GTGCGTGCGTGCCCAAGATCCCGAGAGGAGAATGGAGGAGAAGGGATTGCGGCGTGGCCATCCCCCCTGGGGGGTGATTTCTTGCTTTCTGTCTCTCTGTCTCTCTCTGTCTGTCTGGCAAGCACACGCGCCCTATAGCAAAAACCTTTCAAAAAAAAAGAAAAAAAGAGTGATGATGGTGTTGAAAGATGAGGCCTCAGGGAGATCAGGAATGAGGTCAGCAGGGTGGGGCTCCTGTAATTTTATGAGGAAGGATTGCGAAGTGGCCATTCCCTCCCGGAGGGTACATACTCACTGTTTTGTTACTCACCCGGTTTCAGGTTTTTGTTGTTGTTGTTTTAAAGAATTATTTATTTAATTTAGTATTATTGTTGTTTTTAAAATATTTTTTGCGGTATCTGGGATTGGCATGGTGGTTAAGGGCATTGGACTCCCACATGACTGATGGCGATTCGAGTCCCGGACCTGGTGGCTTGCTTTCTCATTTTCTCTCTCTGTCTCTCTCTCCCCATCCCTCTCTGGTTGAATTAAAATAAAGTTAAATAAAAATAATCCTTATAAAAAAGTTGCTATAAGAGATGTACACTCACTAGAGAGAGACAGAGACACAGAGAGAAGGAAAGCGAGAAAACATGTCATCAGGTCTGGGACTCGAACCATGGTCAGCCATGTGTGAGTCTAGTACTTTAACCACCATGCCACTTGCTGGGCCTGGTTTCGGGTATTTTGTGATTAGCAACAAAATGAGGCACAGAGAGGTGAATAAACTCCTCTGAGGTCGAAGGGCAAAAAAAGCAGACCCTTGGGACCAACAGAAAGTGTCATGGCTATGTCGCTGGACTCCCATGTAGCTGACAGCGGTTCGCGTCCCGGACCCGGTGGCTTAAAACTCAGGCCGGGCACGTGTGCGTGCGTGCCCAAGATCCCGAGAGGAGAATGGAGGAGAAGGGATTGCGGCGTGGCCATCCCCCTTGGGGCGTGATTTCTTGCTCTCCGTCTCTCTCTGTCAGTCTGTCTCTCTCTGTCTCTCTGTCTGCTGACCACATGCCCTATAACAAAAACTTCTCTTAAAAAAATGAGACCAGCAGGTGGCGTGGTGGTTAAGGGCACTGGACTCCCACATGGCTGACCATGGTTCAAGTCCCAGACCTGGTGGCTTGCTCTCTAACTTTCTCTCTCTCGCTCTGTCTCTCTCTAGTCAAATTAAAATAAGTAAATAAAGGGGGCCAGCTGGTGGCCTGATGGTTAAGGGAGCTGGACACTCCCACATGGCGGACCACGGTTCGAGTCCTGGACCTAGTGACTTACTTTCTCTCTCTCTGTTCCTCTCTGGTCAAATTCAAATAAATAGATAAAGTTAAATCAAATAATTCTTTTGTTTTCCTTTTTTGGAGAGATTTTTGCTATAGGGCGCATGCATTCGCCAGAGAGACAGAGAGAGACAGAGAGACAGAAAGCGAGAAATCACCCCCCACGGGGGATGGCCACGCCGCAATCCCTTCTCCTCCATTCTCCTCTCGGGATCTTGGGCACGCACGCACACGCGCCTGGTGTGAGTTTAAGCCACCGGGTCTGGGACGCGAACCGCGGTCGACTACATGGAAGTCCAGCGGACCCTCCCTCCCGGACTTCCGGTCATGCAAAGCCAGTGACCAATGAGGCCCGTGGAGGGTCAGCATGGGGGTGCCCGAAGGTCTCCAAGGGAGCTGTGACAATCTGGCCAGGGAAGGACAGGGGGACCCCGGTCCGGCCCACCTGCTTGAGCGTCAGGTTGAAGAAGGTGTCGTGGAAGTCCCACTGCAGGATGTCACCGTGCCTCTGCGACTCGAGCGCCAGCAGCCGGTTCACCTTGCTGGCTTCGTGCGGGCTGGGCGCAGTGCCCACCAGGAAGAGGCGGCGCAGCTGCAGCCCCAGCACACGGCGCTCCAGGCCCCAGGTGCGGCGCACCAGCTCCCGGCGCTCGTAGTTCCCGGGCGAGGACTTGATCACCAGGAGCAGGAACACGGGCCCCGCGCACTTCTCCAGCGGCGCGTCCTGCAGGAGCTGGAAGTCCCGGCAGTGCCGGTACAGCAGGAAGTTCCGCACGTGTTGGGGCTGGCCCAAAAACTCCGGCAGGGAGGCCATGGACTCGTTGGCCTGGCACGGGGTCGGAGATGGGCGAGCAGGTGGCATGGGCCAGGTCTGAACCTCGGGGGTGCCCGATGGGGACTCCGGGACCACGCAGACGGGCGGGGACAGGTGCAGTCGGAAGAGAAGGAGGGTGATTGCACCTGCCGTCAGCGTAAGGTATATTTGGGGCCGGGGAGTCCTCATTCTCGCAGCCAGGGTCTGGGGTCCCTCGGAGGAAGTCCCTGTTGTGCCTGTGGAGAACATTTGTTTTCTAATTTAATTTTTTTTTTTTTGAGACGTTTTCGCTATAGGGCGTGTGTGCTCGCCAGACAGACAGAGAGAGACAGAGAGACAGAAAGTGAGAGATCACCCCCCCCCCCGCCCCCAGGGGGGATGGCCACGCCGCAATCCCTTCTCCTCCATTCTCCTCTCGGGATCTTGGGCACGCGCACACACACGTGCTCAGTGTGAGTTTACGCCACCGGGTCCGGGACTCGAACCACGGTTGACTACATGGGAGTCCAGCGACACAGCCATTACGCCAACTGCTGGTCCCTCATTATTGTTTTTAAATTTGACCCCGAGAGAGAAAGGAAGGGAAGGTGAGAAAGCAAACTGCCAGGTCCAGGATTCGAACTACAGTTACCAGGTGGGAGTCCAGCGCCCCAATCACCACGCCACCTGCTGGCCTGAATAATTTTTTTTCAGGGCAGGGAGAGATTTTTTTTGGGGGGGTGTGGGGTGGGGAGAGATTTTTGCTATAGGATGCCAGACAGACAGAAAGCGAGAAATCACCCTCCGAGGGGCATGGCCACGCTGCAATCCCTTCCCCTCCATTCTCTTCTCGGGGTCTTGGGCACACGCACACGCACACACACCTAGTGTGTTTCAAGACACCAGATCCAGGACTTGAACCGTGGTCGACTATGTGGGAGTCCAATGCCTTAATATCTACATCACCAGCTGGCTCCTAAGGAAAGGTGTTTTATTCACCATGTGATCCTGGGGGTGTTTTTCCCTTCAAAAGTCTCAAACAAGGGAACTGGCAGGTGGCGTGGTGGTTATAGGCACAGGACTCCCACATGGCCGACTATGGTTCCAGTCCCAGACCTGGTGGTTTGCTTTCTCACTTTCCCTTGCTAAGTCTCTCTGTGATCAAACTGGAAAACAATAAATAAAGTTAAATAAAGTAATTCTGGTTTTGTTTTTTGGTTTTTTTTTTGGAGAGGTTTTTGCTATAGGGCGCGCACGCTCACCAGACAGACAGAGAGAGATAGAGACAGAAAGCGAGAAATCACCCCCCAGGGAGGATGGCCACACCATAATCCCTTCTCCTCTATTCTCCTCTCGGGATCTTGGGCACGCACGCACACGCGCCCGGCGTGAGTTTAAGCCACCGGATCCGGGACGTGAACCGCGGTCGACTACATGGGAGTCCAGCAACAGAGCCATTATGCCAACTGCTGATCCCTTTTTTTTTTTATATAGGTTTTTGCCTTAGGAAATTTGTGCTGGCCAGAGACAGACAGAGAAGGTGAAAAGGAAAGTGAGAACTCACTCTTCCAGTGGGGATGGCCATGCCACAATCTTTTCTGCTCCGATCCCTTCCTGGGATCTTGGGCACGCAGCCATACGCACATGGCATGAATTATAAGTCACCGGGCCCGGGATTCAAACCACATGTGGGATGGGCATGTGGGAGTCCAGTGACGAAACTGCTATGCCATCTGCTGATGCCCTGATTCTCATTATAAAACAGAATGATTGGGGCCAGCAGGTGGTGTGGAGGTTAAGGCAACTGGATCCCACATGGCCAGCTGTATGTTTCTATTCCTAGCCCCAGCAGCTTGAAAAACATGCTGGGGGGAACCAGCAGACAGCCTAATGGTTACATCGCTGGATTCCCACATAGTCGACCGTGCTTCAAGTCTCAAACCTGGTGACTTAAAACTCACACCCAGATGGGGCCAGCAGGTGGCGTGGTGCTTATGGTTCTGGACACTCCCACATGGCCAACCATGGTTCGAGTCCTGGGCCTGGCAGCTTGCTTTCTCACGTTCCCTTTCTCTCTCTCTCTCTCTGGTCAAACTGAAAATAATTATAACAGGCACTCGCAGTTGGTATAATGGTTATGTCGCTGGACTCCCATGTAGTCAACCACAGTTCAAGTCCCGGACCCAGTGGCTTAAATTTATGCCGGGCGAGTGTGTGTGTGTGTGTGTGTGTGTGTGTGTGCGTGCCCAAGATCCCGAGAGGAGAATGGACGAGAAGGGACTGCGGCGTGGCCATCCCCCCTGGGGGGTGATTTCTCGCTGTCTGTCTCTCTGTCTCTCTCTGTCTGGCGAGCACACTCGCCCTATAGCAAAAACCTCTCCAAAAAAAAAAAAAAGATAACAAGTGAAATTAAATAAATGAATAAATAATTCTTTAAAAAACCCAAAAAACAAAAAAACCTCACGCCCAATACGGGTACGCGTGTGTGCAAAATCCCAAGGGGGGAACGGAGAATGGAGGGGGGATCCCTGAGGAGTATTCTCACGTTTCCTCTCTCTGTCTCTCTGCCATGAATGCACACACCCTATAGCAAACTAAAAATATTAAATGAAACAAAACGAACAGAATGACTGAACTTATTGAAGTCCAAACGGCTGCATGTTTTAAAGGTCACAGGATATGAATAACTAGAGGAACCGCAACCGCTATTTTTCTTTCTTTCTTCTTCTTTTTCTTTTTTTGGAGAGATTTTCGCTATAGGGCACGTGCGCTCGCCAGACAGACAGAGAGAGACAGAGAGACAGAAAGCGAAAAATCACCCCCCAAAGGGAGGATGGCCACGCCGCAATCCCTTCTCCTCCATTTTCCTCTCGAGATCTTGGGCACACACACACACGCGCCTGGTGTGAGTTTAAGCCACCAGGTCCAGGACTCGAACCGCGGTCGACTACATGGGAGTCCAGCAACCTAGCCATGACACCAACTGCTGGTCCCACAACCTCTATTTATATAGATGTGGATGTGAGCCTGGATTAATCCCAAGGTGACTCGGGGGGTACCTCCTATCATCTTGGAAACTAGCCATTCTGTCTCCAAATTCCTCAGTCCCAAGAAGGGTCTCGGTAGGGCTGATCCCAAAATACGTGTGAACGTCATGCATTTATTTAACACATATATACTAAGTACTTCTAGGGAACCTGAGAAGACTCAATTCTGAACCTGTCCCACCAGACACACACAGAGCCGGACACCTATGGTGTCAGGGTTGAGTCAGAAGAAGCGATGGGTATTAATGCCGAGGCTTTGAAGGATGCATAGGAGTTTACCAAGGGGGTGTTCACATAAAGGAAGAGCAGATACAAAAGGAGGGGAAAGAACACAGGCCTAGTCAAGAAATCACATGTAGTTTTTTTTTTTCCTCAAAAGACGTTGGAGAGGGGGATGATTTTTGAGGCTGAAGGTAGGGGAAAGACCCTATAAAGACGTTGATGCCAGGCTGAGAAGAAGGGTTATTTTCTGGAGGTGATGGAGAGTTAATGAGACATGTAGACAGGGAGGAGCGAAGTCAGGCTTGCAGTTGGATGGCTCCTTTTGGGACAGAACAGGGACAGATGACATGGGGGGGGGTCCAGGGAAGGCAGGTTGAGTCTCAGTGGGAGAAAGAGAAGGAATGGGACCAGAGGCTGTGGGAGGCTATGGTCCCTATTCCATTTTTTCCCCCAGAGGGTGTATGTGCTCTCTGGAGAGAGAGACAGAGAGACAGAGAGAAAGTGAGAAAGCCCCTTCAGGGGGATGGCCACACCACAATCCTTTCTCCTCTATCTCTTCCTTCCTCATTTTTTTTTTTTCCTTTTTATGGGGCAGCAGTTAGCGTCATGGCTCA